TGCTGGCAATCTACTAGCACCCACTGCTGACTCAACACAGCTGGGCCTCCACCAGCTCTGCCAATGGTTACGCAAGTCCTCAGTTCAAAAAACTTTCAACATCATCATCTACAGCCATTGCATGTATAACAGCAATTCTGTGCCCGCTGCCTCTGAATCTACAACAGCTGCTTCTAACCCTCCACCAGCTCTGCCAATGCAGCACCCTCTGTTCACACTACAGCAGCTGCTCAAACGAATCTACATCTCCAGTGCGACACAGCTGCAAACCTACTCACATCTGTGGCATCTTCTAACGTAGTTCTCCTTACGACCACAAATCTCAATACCCCTCCCACTGTTTCTGCTGCCATGTCGCAACATCTGTTCAACTCAACTTCATCACTCTACATGCCATGCTGAGGCACAACAGCAAATTCTGCTGCGTGCTCTGACTCTACAACAGTCGCTGCTTCTGTAAACATCAACAGCTGCGCTGTCTACCAGCACTTCTTCTGCTGACGTCAACAACAGCTGCCTCTCCACCAGCTACTGAAACAGTGTAGCAACCTCTGTTCAAACTTCACATCAGCATCTCGCAATGCAGGGTACTCAACAGCCAATTCTCGCTGCTGCCTCTGACACAACAACAGTCTGAACGTTCTACAGCTCCACCAGCTCTGCCAATGCAGCAACCTCTGTCAACTTCCGCAGCTGCTCAAGACAGAATCTACAGCAGTCGCAAGCACTAGCTGCAAATCCTACCACATCTGGGCATCTACACGAGCACTTCTCCTGCTACTGACACAACAACACAGCTGCTTCTACCAACTGCTGCAACCTCACTTCTGCTGCATGTAGCAACATCTGTCAAACTTCACTTCAGCTTCTACAAGCCAGTGCTGGTCACACAGCAAATTCTGCTGCTGCCTCTGAACTCTACAACGAGTCAGCTGCTTCTACATCACGAGCTGCTGGGGCCTCTACTAACTTAGCACCATCTGCTGACTCACAACAGCTGCCTCCACCAGCGCGACGACTGTAGCAACCTCAGTTCAACTTCACATCGAGCATCTACAGCCAGTGCAGGTACACACAGTGCATTCTCGCTGCTAGCCTCTGACTCTACAACGGCTGCTTCTACTCCCCAGCTCTGCCATGCAGCAACCTTCTGTTCAAAAACACTTCAGCAGCTGCATCAACAGAATCGAGCAGCCGTGCAGCACAGCTGCAAATCCTGCCCATCTGCCCGCTGCAAACCTCTGACCTCACGGCATCCTGCTTCACCACAACACAGCTGGTCACTGGGGCGTCTACCAGCACTTCTGCTGACACACAACAGCTACTCATGCTTCAGCCGGCAACCACTCGGAGGTACACAACTGTGGATTCTCGGCCACAACTGCAACTGTCACACCAGTTCGGTAGCTGCATCTTCCACAGCGCACTGCACACACGTCTGCTTCTACAAGCCCTGCCTGCTGTGACAGCATCATCACCCCTCACCAGGACAATCACACATCACTCAGCTGCTTCCACTGTAGCTTCATATGTGTCTGCTAGTCGTCCGACTGAGCCGTCAACCAATGGACAGTACTCACATACAGTGAGTGTGGATAGTCGGCCTCGAATTACTGTAACTACTGTATCTGCCCTTCTACCACTGACTGGCTGCTGCAGATCAACCTCGTCCAACACAGCTAACAATCAGATAGACTTCAGCTCAAACCAAGTGCTACAACACTGACCACTGCAAATCGTCTCCAGCTGTGTGTCCACCACGACCCCACCTCTTCACTACACTACAGCAGCCACTTCAGCAACTTCTGCTGCAATCTCTATCTACCGGAATGTCTACAACCACTGTGACCACAGCCAAACACAACACACCAGCACTGCTGCTACCTCACGGACACATCCGTTCCACTGCTGCTAGTACCACATCCACTGTAGCTCATGTAACCCAGCAAACTCGAGTGAATGAGCTGGCAGCATCAGGACTATTAATGGGCTGTGTGTCTCACTATCACTATTGTTTCTCACATCTACTGAGCAATAGTGCTGCAGTTATACGCACACACAAAATCAGGAACATGAGTAAAGTTATCACAGTCAGGATCCGGCAATGATGATGTCCATAGTCTGTTGTTGTAGTGATCTGATTGTTCTGCACGTTGTTTGCCCTGAAGTTCTTATGCATAGCACTGGAGTGAGTACACCTATTTCTAGCACGTCCTACAGTATAAATGTATGTATTTTATGATGTTTACTGTACACAATGTTTTAACGATGTACTTACTCTTCATAAGCGAATCTGAATATTCATATTTTATTTATTGATTGTAGCAGGCACAGCTGCTGTGTAACTCAAACTCAGCTTCATATTTTATTTATTTATCTTCAAATTCGTGTTTAATGTGTAAATACATATGTCTTTGAACTGAACAGTATTCTACAACTTTTGTTGGACATTTTAATAAATTATATAATCCCTGTACATTTTATTAAACATGTACACAGACTAGAGTTATACACTTTAAGCACATTTATAAACAACACGAATAAAATCATTAAGATATTACAGTACATGCAGAAAGTCATGTTTCATTTCTTTCTTAAATTCACTTGAACTCTTAGATGGCCGAGCTGATAGTGGCCACAAAGTGTTTATTACACACCGGTCCTCTTACCTAAGCATAGCTCTGCAAGTTTGCACTGAGCTTCCTGTAGTTACTGAATATCAGGTTACGTGTATAAGCCTGGATTTTAAGAGGTTAAACACTGAGATGTATATTTATACAAGGTATCACAATAATGCACTGACTGCAACACTGTGACGAGTGCAGTGTGTCCCACAGGGCTCTGTTTCAGGGCCCTTACTTTTATTCTCTTATTTGCAGCCCCTGGAAATAAATGGTAGCCTTTCACTTTTTGTTCATGATAGTCAGTTAGATGTGATCCGCCCAGTCAGATTGAGTGACAACAGTTACCCATATATATGACTCCTGGATGACCAACAGCTGTCTCCTCCTATCTGAACTCTAATAAGCAAAGGTTTACTTTTGAGTCCAAAGTCTGCTGGAAATATGGTTGCAGATTTGATCCGTGGACATAGTGGTTTCCTAGGTGCAGGCCCAAGCTAGAGCTAGAGGCTTTGGTGTAATACTGGGATGCTGTTTAAATAGTCATTTCAGTCTCATATCAGTAAAAACTCCAGACTGTATTTAATACGTGAGAATCATCCTTCCAAATATAGCCACCAGGTGCCATCGCCTACAAGATCCTGAGAAATCAGTTCATGGCTTTCGTAGCTACTACATTAGACTGCTGTAACGTGCTACTGCTGGTCATGCCTGCTGACTCTAATTCAGAATGCAGCACTGTGTGTGTTACCAGGAAAGAAAGTTTGAGCATATTATTCAGTCTTATTCTGCTTACACTGACTTCTGGTTCTGATTGATTACAATTGTTTGCTTATAAGGTTTAAAGCTCTCAATGGTGGAGATTGGAAAATAACACCCTTGTTGGAGCATCACAGCCCATCCACACCACTTCACTCAGCTGAGACAAGCCTACTGTAAACCTGTACAGTGAAGAAAACTGCACTGACTTACTTGATTGAAATTTGTTCAATGGATCCATGTGAATTTTTCATCATCTCAATGTTTTATTTGAGTTTTACTCACTTTGGTAAGATGATTTGTGTCATATATTTTAGCGTCACATACTGTTTACTCATATTCCTGTTTAAAGAACATGAGATTGTGTACCTAAAATGAAAAATGCTGTATAGATCAATTTATATTTATTATTATTTTGATATATTAAAACAATACAAAATAACTGAAATCATTAAATGATGTGTTCTGTATTTTTTAAACAGACAGATCATTTCCCATGAAAGATCCTGCATAATTCCTACTGTATCCAACACGCCCACTTCCAAAATGCTGAAATTCCTGCTGGCTGGATCTCAGTGTTCCAAAATCGAGAGTTGGACCTAAAAACTAAACGTCATCCAGAATTAAGTTCCAATAGAATGAAAATTCAAAATTTGTCCTATTTTAAAAGTGGAAATCAAGACAACCAACTTGACAAAATACTGTAATAAGCACTTTCAGTAGCTTATTTATCATTTAATAACTTAAATATGTTCACAGAATTTTGGAAATATTGAATAGAGCATCGAAACGAACATCATTTGGTGAATAATTTGTAAAATTTATTCCACACTGTAAATGCTATTATTGTGTATAACATAAATATTTTAATATGGCAATGAAAACATACTTTGTGACATTATACTATCAAGGGAGGTATCTTTTTTAAATTTCTAAACAAAAATAAAAGATAGCAAAGATGGGTTGAATGTCAATAGAAATAGTCAAAAATCATGTCAACATTTAGAGCTCCTCTCTATCACAACACACAGTGATTAATTAACACATGATTCAGGCCACAGATCAGTGATGCTCATTTTAATGTGACCTCAAAGAAATGGGACAAAATCACATTTATGAAGTTTTCTGCTTTTAAACATTATAAGAGGTGAAATATATATAGTTAATTTTAAGGTATAAGGTTAATTAATATATATTATATTAATATAAGTTATATACTCATAAAAATAATACAAATACTTAAAAACTCTTTGAAATTAGCCCTGAGAAATTTGTTTCTGACAAAGATATTTTAGCACAACATCAAACTGATGCTGGGACTCTTTGTGTGAAGAAATCCTGAAGAAGAATTTCATCCAGACTGCACTAAAGCTGCTCATGCACAGTGATACAGTGAGACAGAGGTTCACTATGTTCAGAAATAAACATATGAAATGAGCTGTGTTTACAAACCGACGAAGTTTATGACACACAAGACAACGAAAATAGCTGTTATGATGTCTTGGTGTGAGTGATGGAACAGCTCTTTTGTTCTGAGCTGGTCACTCCAGAACCTGAGAGATTGTGCGTAAGTGAGAGTCTCACAGCAGTTGCGCAACACTTGTTGCGCAGTGATGAGCCATGAGAGGAAAAACAGGTGAGTTCTAATCAGAGCTCTCATGTATATAAGAAGGCCATTTCAGAACCTGACAGTGATAAAATCTAGCAGGAGGTGGAACATCAGCCACTCTGACGCAGCAGGAGCTCCACACACTGACCTTCTGTCTGAAGACCAACAATCACAGACGACAGTCAGAGAGGCTCATCACATTTGATTGGAGTTTCATATTGACCTTCTCGTGGTTTAAATTCTGACGATTAACTGAAATTAATTTACATGACTCACAATAGACAATATTTTGATTTGTTTCTTTTAATAAAAGAGTGGACAAAGTTGAATCTCAGTTGTGGCAAACAACGTGTTTTTCATTTAAGAACACAAGCTGATAAGCCCATTAAAGAACCTGGAGGACTACATATGCCAGAAGCACAGGAGACCCCTGGAGTTGTTCTGTAGAGATGACCAGATGTTTGCGTGTATGATCTGCACTGTGACTGACCACAAGAAGCACAACACTGTTCCTGTAGAGGAGGGGATTGGAGAAATGAAGGTGGGAGAAATGCTGATTAGGTTCATCCTTAAACATTCATTTAAAAATGAAACAAAACATTTGATAAGAAAACCAAACTATTCACTGAAATATGAAAGTAAAAATTATTTCTTCTCATTTGCAGCTGGAGAAGACACAGACAGAGGTGCAGCAGATGATCCAAGACAGACTGAAGAAGATCAAAGACATCAAACACTCAGTAGAGCTCAGAAAAGTGAGTGAACCATGACATATTGTGATTTCCTCATTCTGCAGAATTTTTGGCCAAAACTAATAGTTTGCATTGTAGCACTAGTATAAACTATTAGTTTCAGCCATTTAACGCCCCCTAAAATACACCTTGCTGACTGGACATCTTATTAAGCACATCTCCTTCTTATCTACACTCGTCCATTTTATCAGGTCCACAACATAGGTGCACTTTATATAACAGTTACAGACTGTGGTCCATCTGTTTCTTTGCATACTTTGTTACTTCACTATGTTCATCAATGGCCAGGACCCCCACAGGACCACCACAGAGCAGGTATTATTTGGGTGATGCATCATTCTCAGCACTGCAGTGACACTGACTGGTGGTGGTGTGATGTGCTGGTATGAGTGGATCAGTTTTTTAACACCTCAGTCTCACTGCTGGACTGAGAATAGTGTAGCAAATCAAAAATAGTGTAGTAGTAGCAAATGTAGTACACTAAACCTTGTTCAAACTTAGTATATCCTTGTTAGCTATAGTAGAATAATAGTTGGAATGATGGTTATATTATGAGCTTCAATGAATATATAGGCTCAAATGTACATGCTTATGTTTGTGATGGTAACACATATTGAGGTGTGTTAAATTCCTCAAACTCAAAATAGCTTCAGACTTGGTGTAAACACCTGTCAGATGTTATAGTATTGAATAGAAATGGAATGAGGGATATGTTATGAGTATTATCACAGATATAACCCAGGTGTAAATACATGTGTTCATAATTATAATATACACTGAAGTGTCCAAAAGAATAAATTCCCACCATAAACCTGGTTTAGACTTGGTGTCTGGCTGTCTTACCAAGACCTAAAAGCATAGAATAGTTTCAAATTGACTATTTTCACATTTTGTACAATACAATCAATTTAAAATGAGAAATGTATTATGTTTTAAGGCTCAGTTTTGTATGCATTTATTTTTTAATTAGAGTATACATTGGAGTGTATTAAATTGCCAAAATTATACCTTGATCACAGTTCGTGTTGACATGTCAGACATTGTGGAATAAAATCAAGCTGGAATGAGGGATGTTTTGTGAGCTGTAACATAAACCCAAATGTGTATGGATTTGTTCTTGGTTACAGTCTCAGCATTTCCACAATAGCTCTGTTTCAAACTTGGATACCTGTCACATGTAAACAATCAACTTACTTGACTTTGTGAACACTTCTTAGATAAGTAAATTACAGTCATCATCAAAAAGTAGTTGCACCTAGAAGGAATCAGCCAACAGGAATGAAACGTGATGAGTAGGTTTGACATTGTGAGACATGCGAATAATTCAAGTTTCAGGCTCAGCCGCACATGTGACGTAAGCAAGAACAGGGCTTATCGCTGTACCTGACTGCCTATATAAGGTCGTCACACACTGGCGACATGAAGGATCAGGGAGATCTACATGAACCACGGAGAGGGCAAATCGACCCAACAGCCATGATTGTGGACACTGAGCGAGAAGTGATGCCCCATGAGTCATCCTGTTAGTACCAGTACCATTAGCGGATGGCTGCATGACGCAGGACTACATGCGTCTTAAGCGCTTGCCTTGAAGACACAGACCCCTCATTTTTCCCAACACCTGCTGCTTGTTGTGTTAGTTTGTCTCTGGTTTTACCTGTTTATTCTGAACCATGTTCTAAGTGTGCCTCGTTAGTTCTTCTGACTTTCAACTGCCATCAGGCAAATTTGGGAACAAAAAACTGAACATGCTACTAATTAAAAAAAGCCATTTAGAAGCCAACTCTTTGAGCTGAGCCTGTCACTACCCGATCTGCGCCCTTTGCCTGATTTGCACACCGCTGTCATGCATTTTGCATCAGTGCATTTGCACTGCTCAATCTGCACCATGCATGCCTATTAGTGGATTAGCTAGGATTGTTTAATGCTAAAACCACAATATAAGCAGTCTCATTCTGTTTCCTAGTTTAATACTACTTTTTATTAAGTTTCTTTCTATGGGTAAACACAGGTTAGAACACAGGGAGATGAAAGGGGTACAGACAAAACCTGCTCAATGTTCTTAATGTTCCTAACCTGCTAATGTTCTCCTCAATGTGAGGAGAACTGCAACTCTGTATGTCTTTAGGACTTGTCAAAGGCTAGAGGGCGCTCCAGAGCGAGTCTAAAATGAATGGTCTCCTATGGAGCTTTGTCAAAAATGATAGTTTGTAAAAGCTTAAACATTTTAATATAGAAAAATGCCCTCATTTTCTGAACACAGAACAACATAACATATTTTAGCACTGCTGTTATATTTTCAAACACTTTTATATTCAAGTTATAGGACTTTATAAAAGTGCTTTATGTACATTCATGACGTCAATGAGCACGAACTTCTTTACTCAGCCAGTGAGCTGATCCGCTCACCAACCAATCAGCACTCAGTATCAGTAATGCTAGCATCCTATGGCCTAAAATATGTTTGCTGTAGGAAAACAGATAGATATGGATGAATATTCCTTGTTTTTTAATGGAATACATTCTTCTACTTTCCAAAATTTAAAAAAAGGTACTGCACAAATGATTAGCTGTTTAGCTCCATTCACCTCCATTCATTGAGGACTCAGGGGCACTTTAGCATTTTGCATTCATGTTTTTGGCATAACAGGAGCAATAGGGAGTGGCCAGGCTCCCCTGAAACCTTTGATCTGACTCATTGAACCCACATCACTATGCAACCCTAATACTGTTAAAATACACTTTATGGTCCAAAGTTTGCAGACACCTGCTCATCCGATGTTTCTTCCAAAATCAAAAGTAAAAAGGAGTTTGTCCCCCTCAGCTTCAGTAACTGTCTCTACTTTTTGGGGAAGGCATTCAGCAGTGGGAGCACTAGTAAGATCAGGTATTGATTTTGGATGATTAGTTCTGGATCACAAACGCCACTCCAGGCTCTTAGGCTCATGTGTGGCTGCTCCAGAGCATTGGCTAGTCACACAAATGTTATTCACCCCTGGACAAAGGTTAATGAAAACAACTGGGAAAGGTAAACTGTAAAGGCAAGCTAGAGAAAGAGAGAGATGGAGAAAACCTTAATTAAGTGTTAAAGAGGGATGTAATAAAAATAGAAGTCTACTTGAACAAGATGCAGAGAAGTGCATGAATTATGTGATTTGCTGAATTTCAGAGGGAGGAACTGCAGGACCAAAGTACAGAAGTGGCAAGCTCAGAGACTGTGAGACCTTTGCTCAGCTAACCACCAAAGCCAGTTCATTCAGTGTACTTGTAAACTCTACAGATGGCCATCTTAATGTTAAAGTGATATCACACTCTTAAGTCTGGGTAATTAACTAGCTACCTAACTAGCAGCTACTCCAGTTCTCAACCAAGCTGCAGCTTCTTTTACATTCACGCTCATGTATTTAGGAGAGATAAAGCAGTGCTACTTGTTGTTGCTGTAATAGTGGGCATTCACTGTTATTTCTTTCATTTATCTTCCATAAGAGAAACACAGAGAAAGAGAAAGCAGACAGTGCTGAACTCTTCACTGCTCTGATCTGCTACATTGAGAGAAGCCAGGCTGAGCTGCTTGAGGTGATGGAGGAGAAGCAGAAAGCAGCAGAGAGGCTGGCTGAAGACCTCATTAAAGAGCTGGAGCAGGAAATCACTGAGCTAAAGAGGAGAGACACTGTGCTGGAGCAGCTCTCCCACACCGAGGACCACCTCCACCTCCTACAGGTCAGTGTCCCTCTATAATGACAATGCATCACACAACAACACTGCCCATGCTGAGCGATTTCTCCTCTCTCCTGCTGGACTGTAGATTTACCCATCACTGTGCAGACCTCCACACACCAAGAACTGGACTGACATCAGTATTGACACTCATCTGAGTGTAGAGACTGTGAGGAACGTCTCAACTTCAGAAGAGTCTGGAGGAAAAAATCATAGAATCAGGTGAGAAATGTTGATATTGTAGCAAAATAAATTATTTGTCAAATGTTGTATGAAAGACAAAATATCAATTGCAATTTATTAAAGTCCAAGATTAGATTTAAACTAACTTTTTAAAAAGCGTAAATGTTTATTTTCTTGTAATTAATCTCAACAGAACTGAAGATGATTCAGCAGTATGCAGGTACAGTGCAGCTTCTGGATTTTTTTGCCTCTCTTTATTTTAAATGCTTTTATATTTTATTATTTTAAAATCAGCATAACACCACTGTTTCCCAAACCATATAATATTCTATTACTCATATTTCACTGTAAAATTTAGTTTATTTTTCCACAAACCCTTTTCAAAGTTTACTCAGTGTAATTGACTGGATGATGAATTGATTTATTATCTGTATATTCATATCACACACTGTGTGTTTCTCTCAGTGGATGTGACTCTGGATGCTGATACAGCTCATCCTGATCTCCTCCTGTCTGATGATGGAAAACAAGTGAGAGACGGAGACACAGAACAGAATCTTTCTTACAATCCAAAGAGATTTAATGGATGTACCTGTGTCCTGGGAAAAGAGGGATTCTCCTCAGGGAGATTTTACTATGAGGTGCAGGTCAGGCGAAAGACTGAGTGGGATTTAGGAGTGGCCAGAGAGTCCATTAACAGGAAGGGAAAGATTAAATTGAGCCCACAGAATGGACTCTGGACTGTGATTCTGAGGAATGAGAATGAGTACTTGGCTTCTGCTGGTCCCCCAGTCCTCCTCTCCCTGAGAGAGAGGCCCCAAAAGGTGGGGGTGTTTGCTGATTATGAGGAGGGTCTGGTCTCCTTTTATGATGTGGAGTCCAGATCTCATATCTACTCTTTCACTGGTCAGTCTTTCACTGAGAAACTCTATCCATTTTTCAGTCCATGTGATAATGATGGAGGTAAAAACTCCACTGATCATCTCACCCGTATCAAAGACTGAATAAACTTTCAATCGTAACTACAAAAGGAACACTACAACAAAACAGATTTAATGTTTTCTGATGCATTATGGGAGAAAGGTGTATAATTAGGCATACCATTTATTTACAGCACTGATACTGTATAAAATAACAGTATTTTTACAATTATTATATTACTGAATACATTTAATTACTGTATTTTTCGTTACCCTGTATTTTCAGCGTACAATCTGACAACCCACAATTTTGCTACATTATCTAGTACAGTATATAATGATATATGCAAACAGCACAATTTCTGATAGCAGACGCTTGAACATTCATTCATAGTGTTACATATACTGTCACAGTGTTTGGGGTGGGTGATGTTGGACTGTATTCTGGCTCAACATAGTCTGGCTTTATATTGTCTTCCACAGGCAGGGCTGTGTGGGCCCTGTCCTTTTCTATTTTTATTTTTTATTTTTTTGCAGTTCTTTCAAAACGGCTCTCTTTTTGGTTCTGTTAGAATCTGCGCTGCTGCATTTTGTATGAGTTGTAGAGGATGAATTGTTTTCTTAGGGAGTCCAATAAAAAGAGCAACTCTGTAACAAATACATGAACAAGTTTCTCTGCGTCACTCTTTCAAATGATAAAAAGGCCAAACTTTCAAATGATAAAAAGCTACTTTTTATTTACATTCAGAACAAAACAGAGCTCATAATCTATGATTACGTCCAGGTTTAATGCTTCTCACAAAACAGCTTTCTTTGATTTTTGGTACCAAGAATCAGTATTTCAGTTTTTTCCTGATTTAGTTGTAGAAAATTTTGTGACATCCACTGAGAAATAGATACACAGCTGGTAAGCCTGTCAGTTGATTCTTGATTCTCAGATGGAACTGAAATGTATAAAGCAGGTCAAAATTTATATCATGTGTCCTAATGACATCACCTAGAGGTAACATACAAAAAGAAAAGCAACAGCCCTAAAACTAAACCTTGTGGGGCAAAAATGTCAATGCTACTATGGTTTGAATGAAGACCTGTTTAAAACTTCACAAATAATTTCTTTGATATTAGACAAGGATTTATTTGTTTGAAGACTTTTTTTCTAAAACTATTCTTTTAAAAAAGGGAGGTTTGAAACAGGTCTAAAATTATTAAGTATGGAAGGAACACTGCTACTCTTTTTAGTAGAGGCAGTTTTAAAAGCACTGCTGTTTACAGAGAACAGTTAAAAATAGTTGAAACATAATTTTGAATACAATCGAAATGCATTTTTTCCCCTTTCAACTAATAAATCCATCCACTGTGGATGGTGTTTGGACAGCAGAAGAATACATGGGAAACTGTTCCTTTAGATGACTTAATAAACATCATGAAATTGTGATGAAGTGGTGAGAGGTGGTTATAAACAGGGATGGTGCCAGCTATAGGCAGAATAAGCAGTTGCTTAGGGCCTCATCATTGGCAATCCTAGACTTCATTGCTCTGAAAACAAGTATGAATTTTCTTATTCAATAAGTTGGTTGTCTGTCACTGGTCCTACAACCAAGCAATGTTACTAATTCAAGATGGACTCTACTCTCTTATTGCATGAAGAGATCTTATAGGCCCATGTAAAGCAAGTGTACCCTAAGGCTCCGCCCCCTCCCCTTTAACAAGAGTGCAAATGTTACTGCTAGCTATGATGCCATCTACAAAGCAGTGACGAATGAAGAGTCGCATAATGATAAACAAAGCACGCTTGAACAAAAAGAGCTGCATGTGATGCAGGAATGCTGTGATTTAATTGCTGTGCAATGTTTTGCATCAGCTGCCTCAGTAATAGTGCTTTTCTTTTAATCATGTTGAATCATCACTTTACACCCTTTAATGACTTGCACTTGTAAAATATTCACACAACATACTTGTCAGTTTGTAAACATGTGTTTGTGAAATCCTGTTGATATGAGTTTTCACTTTCAACGATCCACACAAAACCTACTCAAGAACCTATTTAAGAGATAAACGCATGTGAGTGAGTTTCAGGCCAGGTCACTGAGGTGTTTAGTATCTAAAAATGAGGAAAGCTTAACATTAGCGCTGACAGTTAGTGTAAGAAATGATCAATACCTCACAGGTAGTTTGCTTTTAATAGCTTATCTTTGTGTTTTAGGCGTGTGTGATTTAACACACTGCTGTATGATGTGAACGTAAGTCTGCTTCATGTTTCTTTTCTCACCAGATTGGTTTGTCACATGGTAATCTGTTCCATGTTTTACACACAGCAAGGCAATATGCAGCACAGTTCACAGAGACACTGTGTGAGTGCTATGAGAAAAGTTACTTTAAAAAGTGTCTTCTCAGAAATATATGTGTGTTCTTGGTCTGTATGGTTGGATGTGAGTTCAGGAGAGAACATTACAATTACCAGTAACCAACCCTATTTTTTGTGATATATTTTCATATATAGCTTCACCTGGATGGCCTCCAAAGTAAATTTTTGGTTGAAGGAGAAATTACAAAATGCTTATAAATATTCTTAGTTGACTATTTCCTTCATTTATAGTGATTATCAGTAATGATTACATCACATAAAAATGTTGGAGCAAGTATTTTTGACTGCTAATGTATTTTTACATTACACAAAAGTTTATTTTCTCCCCTTGAAAACAGTTGCTCCTGACTCCAGTGGTCTCCTGTCTGAAGATCAGTTCCTGTGTTCTTTCTGTCTGGATGTGTTCACTGATCCAGTCTCCACTCCATGTGGACACAACTTCTGCATGAAATGTAATGTTAATTGACATATATTTACATGTTGGTTAACTTGAAAATGAAAAAGCAAAGTGGGAAATTAATAGTAAATCACCAGCAGATGGCAGGATATTTGTGCAGATGTTTGGAAAAAGAAATGGCCAAAAGAGGTTTGCATTTACATTTTATTGTTTTAATTATATCTTTTTTGGCTGGATTTCCTTCCATAAGAGGAGAGATACATGGAGGGTGTTTAATACACACACACACACACACACACACACACATTTTCTAAGCCGCTTATCCATCTGGGTCACAGGGTAAGGCAAAATAGAGCCCTCAAAATATTTTTTAGATTATCCAGGATCACCATGAAACCTTGAAATTACAGTATTATAGGTCTTTAAAAAAGATTTTAAAAATCAAAGGTCAGATAAAGTCTGAAAATGTCATTTTTTATTATGAGAGGTACTGAATTCTAAGACGATGCCTGTATTATAATAATATACCAACCACAAATATTCAGCTGACAGACTGACCACTGACAAACAGCCAGAGCTGAATGGATAAAATCAAACATACAGAAGAAACATAGTGTATAATATTGTGCAATAAACGTGTACACTCACCTTCATTCCAGGGACAGGAATCAAGCACAGGTGTCTCTGTCCTTATATAGGAGCTGGATGATGTCACAGCTATCCTCTAGAGGGGGAGCAAAGCTGGAGTAAGACCTGTAGAGAGAAAAGAGAGTTAAAGCTATAGCTAACGGTGAATGTGAATATACTTACTGCTATAGAAACGAGAAATTGCCATGTAAACATTGTTGATGTTACATATGCATATTGTATTGGCTGATGGTAAGTCAGTGGTGTATTGTCACCTGCCATAAACTGTATTGGTGTGTTCCAGCCTCGATTGGGGCGGGGCTTAGACTATAAAGTGAGAATATTGGGGATACTTGTGGGAGTGAAGAAGTAGGCTCAAGGAAGACATAGTGTGTAGTCTGTATGGCCTTGTGGCCTCCAGACATATTTAGACACTGCAGATTGATGTTTAAGCTGTGAGAACAAGTGACAGCCGCACATTATCTGAGGGGTTAATGGAGTCACCTTAGGAACCAGTTTTGTTCTTAAACCTTCAACACAGTTATAAATATGTAAACATCTTTTCTGGATGATTGACACTTAATAAATGACTGAGAGCTCTTGAACTTGTGTGTGCGACATTGAAGGGGAACCCAAAGCTTCTTTTCTGCTCGTAGCCTCACACTACTGGAGACACCGTGTCCCACTGCATATGGTGATGACGGCGCACCACAACGCATTAAATCATTCAGTGGTTTTTGTGATTAATGCACCTGCAGTTCAGACACTATTTTTCCTCTTTAGAGCTCCCTGTATATAAACTCCTACTGGCTATTTCAGAACACCTTAAACCACTGAAGCTCATAGTAAAATGTTCCTGTAAGTAACAGCTCACATGTTGCAGGCAGAAGCAGTGAGGTGCTGGTCTTAAACGGTGAGTTAGACCCACACTGAATGATACATTTCTAATAACCTCGACTGTGGGACCGGCTGCGGCCACCAGAGGGAGACAGAGAGCCCTTGGTTGCTCAGGGGAAGACGATGCCAAGTCCGGCTTTTAGTCTTTTACTGTCAAGCTGTTTATCCAGGGTAAGAATAAAGACTAATCAATTTGTTATTAAAAACAAACAAACAAAAATCTTTCTCCATTATCCTCTCACTGGGACCCGCAACAGCTCCCCTTCCTTAAATGGGCCCTTCCCCTTCATTTTTGTATTAACATGCATGTGATATTAGAAACAAGGACATTAATATTAACGACAACTGCTTTCCTTCCTTTCTCATTTCCTTCCTTTCCTGCTTTTGTCACTTCCTCTCCTCAGCCCTGATCGTGTGGTGTGATCGCTCCATGGAAAGTTTCATCCAAGTGGGCTGGGTTTGCGCCCCCTGACACGGCGAGTTTAAGTTTTCTCTTCTCTTTATATTTTTAGCTTCTAGTTTCTCTTCTTCGATGTTCCTACAGCCTTCTGATGTTTTTTACCTTCGTCTTCTCCTTTTTTCCTGTGCCTCTAGTTCGCTCTGCATGTGTGACTGTCCACCATCAGTTCTGGCGCAGTTGGTAATTCTTGTCATTCTTGTGTGATGAACGAGGTTTTAATCCGGATACAGAACCCGTTACAGTATAAGAAGGAGTTTTACTTCTAAACCGTCCAGCTAAACTGCCCAGTCTGTGTTACACTGAGAACGATATCGCCATCATCTCACTGCAGTCCAGAACTTCCTAAGAAAAAGTGAAACTGAAAAACTCTGGAAGTTCACATCGAATAACAGCCTTCTTCTTCACAATAAGTGCTGATCTGAACTGCTGGATATTCAGAAACTCTGAGAAGAGTTCAAACACAGACAGTTCTGACTCTTCAAGAAAAAGACAGAAAAATAAAGGTATGTACTTCAGTGAAAGATTCATAGATCAGACGTTTAGTCAGTGTGAGCTTCATCACGGTGAACTACATGAGTAAACAAAGTCAGATAAAGACGTTTAACACTGAGAAAGTGATCAGATCAACAGCTGGAATACTGATGTTGAATATAATGTGATTATTGTCTCAAACAAGAGGAATAATATTTAATGTTCTCTGATGGAGCTTGAAGCTGAGCTGTAAAACAGGTTGAAAGGTTGTTGTGTTAACTGGTTAAAGCAGAGTGGAGCAAAAACCCTCATTCAGACAGAGCAGACAGTGAGAAACTGAATGATATCACTGAGCTGAGAGCTGTGATGATGGTCAGTATAAAGAGGAAAAGAGCTTTTACAGTCTGCAGATACAGACGGGAGTGGTGCCACACCCCCAGGGGTGGGGCAAAACATATTGTTAAAAAAAGCGTCTGGCTGAGTGAAATGCAATTAGGCCACTGACTAAAACTATCTTTCAATATAAACCTATTCAGAGGTGAGTAGTAACTAGTTACATTTACTCAAGTACATATACTGAAATATTAAATACTGAAGGATATTTACTCTCCTGAATATTTTCAAATCATGTTACTTTTACTCCTACTAAAGTGAGTAAAGGGATTTTTTAGTCATTCGTAATTAGTTACTAATTCAATTTTTTGTGTTTAATTTCAGTTTGTTTTGTTGGTGGCAATATTTGTACTGCTTTGTGATTGGTTACATCTCTGACTTTGGAGCTTTAAAATTTAGACCAAAAAATTCCAAAAACAGAAGAACGAGCTGCACGATCTTCAGTTCCTCTGATGGTAAATGCTGGACATGTAGATACTAAGAAGATCCACTGCAGTACTCAGTAACTCAGTACTTAAGTAGATTTTTAACCTGCTGCTTTCGAGTATCTACTCTTGTTGTTTTGGGGAAGGTACTTCTACGTGTCATTATTTTATACAAGTATCAATACTTTTACAGCTTCAGTAGCTGCAGCCCTTGATAGCAGAATTCATTAACCAGTATCTCTGAAGAACATCAGGCTGTTTTCATACCCAGTTCATTCTCTAAAGACCCACCACAGTTTTTTGTGATATTATATCTCTTTCAGTTAGTTTGGATGGTGAACTGCAGCGGCTAAAGTGGACTAAATTACACACGTGTGTGTTTGTTTATGAAGCAGAAGCCTCTGTTTCTCTCACCACCATGATAACAGAAACAAACGCATATCATTATTTTACTGCTTCTCTCTCGTTATTTACTGCAGCTGGCAGTGCATGAACGATTTTAGCGTCTGTAAAGTGTAACATGTTAAAGTAGCGGGTTGTGCAGGCGGTACAAAGAAAACGTGCAGTGGTAAAACGTGTTGAATTCCCACATGAATTGGCGCAGTTCCGTTGTGTGGTGCTGCCTGAATGCGGGTGGAGTATTGCTCGTCAAAACTGAACTAAAGAAAAAGCTGGACAGTCTGCACCATCCAGGGCAGGTCTGAAAGCTCCTCCCAGCTGAAATGGAGATTCTGATTGAAATTTTTAGAAAGTGCCATATTTACGTTTATTACCAGCAGATGATGTGCTACCTTAGTTTCGCTTAGAAAATCAACAAAACATGTCATTTGACCAGAGGTAATCACATTTTAGCATATGACTATATAACACTGGTTTGAGTGAGTTTAAGGCAGCAGGCAGGTGTGTTGTGTTAAATGTGTGAGCTGAGTGATGTGATTTCTTACTGACAGGTGTTAAAGGATGAGGAAGAAAATGGCTGAATCTTCATCACAACAACCAAGAGAAGAAAGAAGGAGCAGCACAGAGGAATCAGTTCACTGTAAGTTAAAACTGAAATATCTCTTTTCAAATCAAGATGACCTTGACTTTGATCTTATCTGTATCAGTGCAGTAAAATAAAAGTAAAACCAGGTTATTCATTGCAGAATGAAATACTTTTCACATTCTCAGTGTCATGTTGAGGGCTAGGTGTGTCAGTCAGACAGCACAGATTATGGCTTATATAAAGTTTATATTACACTGGCAGTCCAAAATAATTACTCAGAATCACAAACACTGAGTTACAGGGTTATTAGATATTTGATCTTGTACCTTTAAGGTTCACCTACCTTATATATCCACTGTGTGTGTAATTACAGACTGCTGTCCATTCTCAACCCCGTTAATTATTAGTCAAATTATGACCACAGGACTAGTTTGACTAGATATTATTTGGGTGGTGGGCAGTTTTGAACAGAGCATTGAAATGGTGATGGTATCTGGCATAGAAACTGCTACTGTGTATTTCTACCTTGATGGAGTACAGTTAGAGACTTTAGCCCATCTGTTGATGCATCTCTATTGTCAGTCATCCCCCAGCTCTTCATCAGTGTTCAGGTTCCACAGGGCTGCTCTTGGCTAAATATTTTTGGGTGCTGGACCACTTTCACTCTAACAGTGACAGTTTGTGTGTAAACAGGCAGTATGATTTTCAAAGGCACTGCTTTTGACTGTTGAAGCAAAACTCATTTAATATGCGTTGAATTTCAGTTGTGGAGTAATGGAGAGAATCTGGTTTTAATTAGTGCTTTGCTTAAGCTGAAAGACAGAAGGGGAAACTAGAGAGGGTTCTTAGCATACAGACCAGACACCAGACCACGTTCTACCTCACCTTCACTTTCAAGTTAAACTGTCATGTTTCAGTGGTTGAGAGAACACGACACAAAACAGAATATGTTGTGTTGAATTATGAGAGAAACACAAAATTTGCATTAGAAAAAAGTTTTATTTAGACAGCTCCTTTACATCAGTTACATTCAACAATGGTATATTACAGAATTATTACAGTATGAGCTTCTTTTAGGAGCTTCAGTATATCTTTATAATCAGTCTTTTTCTCTGAAAAAGTGGGTGAGTCTTTCCCCTTTGTTGTTTTCTTCTTCTTTTTTGTTTTTGTTTTTTTTCTGGCATTATTTGAAACATAATTTGTGTTTTTTGACATCTTCTTCTGAATTACATACAAAATTAACAACTCTTCTTACAGACTGGCTGGGCTACGAAACTGGTCTGTGGTGGTCCAGTGGTGGTCCTTTCCTAACCACTGCATCCAGGCACTGTGGATGGTGTGTGGATAGCAGTGAAGAATATGTAGAAAGCTTTTTCATTAAGAGAATTAATATTACAAAAGTTAAAAAAAGTGTTGTGGGGCAAAATGTTAATAAACAGTCTCAGCGGTCTGTTTCAGTTTTAGTGTTTATCTGTATTCATTACATTACAAAAATGTTTCAGCAATTCTTTTTGACTGTATTTATACATTAAATTGTTGAATGAATATACGTTTCTCATATTTTCCACTCATCCACAGTTGCTCCTGAACCCAGTGGTCTCCTGTCTGAAGATCAGTTCCTGTGTTCTTTCTGTCTGAATGTGTTCACTGATCCAGTCTCCACTCCATGTGGACACAACTTCTGCATGAAATGTATTAAAACATGCTGGGGTGACAGTGAGCAGTGTCACTGTCCATTCTGTAAAGAGAAATTCGTCAAAAGACCAGAACTCAAGGTCAATACAGCATTCAGAGAGGTTGTAGATCACTTCAAGAAGAAATGTGATCTGGATAAACCTGAGGTTCTTTGTGATGCCTGCATTGGAGTGAAGAAGAAAGCCCTGAAATCCTGTGTGGATTGTCGTCTCACTCTTTGTAAATCTCATTTAGAATCTCATAATAATATGCTGAAACTTAAGGAACACAAGCTGATAAGCCCATTAAAGAACCTGGAGGACTACATATGCCAGAAGCACAGGAGACCCCTGGAGTTGTTCTGTAGAGATGACCAGATGTTTGCGTGTATGATCTGCACTATGACTGACCACAAGAAGCACAACATTGTTCCTGTAGAGGAGGGGATTGAAGAAATGAAGGTGGGAGAAATGCTGATTGACTTCGACCTTAGACATCCGTTTAAAAATAAAAGAAAATGTTTGTTAAGAAAACCAAACAATTCACTGAAATATGAAAGTAAAAATCACATCTTCTCTGTTTGCAGTCACAACTGAAGAAGACACAGACAGAGGTGCAGCAGATGATCCAAGACAGACTGAAGAAGATCAAAGACATCAAACACTTAGTAGAGCTCAGAAAAGTGAGTGAGACATGACATGTTGTGATTTCCTCATTCTGCAGATTTGATTTAATTTTGTAGAATCTATTAGTTTGACATAACTCAATCTCAGGGATGGACTGGCCATCAGGAGCACTGGAACAATTCTTGATGGGCCGCTATGTGTTTGGGCTGCTGATGGAGTAAGAAAAGTAACAAACTTCATTAAAGTATTCACCCATCACATGTGCTGCATTGTCGTTTCTAATGTAGCCTGCATAAAATGAATGGAAATTACCTGGGTCAAACACTCTGGCCAAGCTATCCACACTTATATCACATGTACTGAAGTTTTAAAAGTACTAGCGCATTGCAAATGCATTCTACTCCATGGCCCCAGCTTCTAGACAAATTTTGTTTACAACAAACTAATATAGCAAAAATAATACGCTTTGAGTTCCGACATGGATTTATTTTACTTAATCTAAAAAGTGTTCACATGGTGTTTTAAATATTTTGGGTTTTGTGTTAAAATACACTGCAAAATGTCTTTTTCAGAGTAAATACATTTTTCACGTGTGACAGGTGTCCACACCAAGTTTGAAGCAGATCTAACAAGGAAATGTTTTGATAGTGTAAGGTAGCCACTTGATTTGATACTGTAATTTTGAATAAATGCATACATATTTGGGTCTGTATTACAGCTTATAAATCATCCCTCATTCCAACTTGATTATTTTCTATGATATCTGACAAATATCAACACCAAGTTTGAACTAATGCTATAATGCAAATTATTAGTTTCAGCCATTTAATGCATCCTGACTGGACACCTTATTAAGCACATCTCCTTCTATCCACACTCATTGTCCATTCAGGCCCATTTACAGTATAGGTGCACTTTATATTACAGTTACAGACTGTAGTCCACCTCTTTCTCTGCATAGAGAAAGCCCCTTTTTACCCTGTTCTTCAGTGGTCTGGATCCCCACGCGACCACCACAGAACAGGTATTATTTGGTGGTGGATCATTCTCAGCACTGCAGTGACACTGACGAGGTGGTAGTGTGTTATTGTGTTTTGTACTCTGACTTTACATCTACAAGGTGGACCAACAAAGTAGCTGTATCTAATAGAGTGGACAGTAAGTGGACACAGTGTTTTAAAAATTCCAGCAGCACCACTGTGTCTAATCCACTCAAACCAGTCCAACACACACTAACGCCACTGCCATGTCAGAGTCACTGCAGTGCTGAGAATGATCCACCACTCAAATAATACCTGCTCTGTGCTGGTCCTGTGGGGGTCACACAGCAACCCACAACACACATAATTCCCTTGCTGGTGGAGGCAAAACTAAAAGTTTTCACTGTAGATTTGCTTCAAACTTGAGTGAGCACAGATATTGTATAGAATCGAGTGGGAATGAGTTATATAAGTTGAAGTACACTAAACCTTGTTGGAGTGTATCCTTGTCAGATATAGTAGAATAATAGTTTTAATGATGGTTATATTATGAGCTTTAATAAATATATACACTCTAATGTACATGCTTATGTTTGTAATTGCAACATATATTGAGCTGTGTTAACAGTTACATCCATGTTAGAAATGAAACCATATTAATATTATTACTATTTTAATTTGTTACAAATATTTTAGCAGGAAGCTGCAAAAGTTGAAAGCTCATATTTGCGAGACATGTTTTAATTAATTATTTCATTAATTATTTATTTTTTGTAAATTACAACATGTAGTTCTGACCCCTCATTTTTCCAAACACCTGCTGCTACTGAAGAAAAAAAAAACATTTCGGAGCCGACTCTGAGCTGAGCCACTACCCAATTTGCGTCCTCTGCCCGATTTGCACCATGCGTGCACACCACCAGTCTCCCACATGGACACTGCATTTTATTTTACGATGCTGCGCAATCTGCACCACACATGCCTAGCTTTTTGCAAAATTGTATTAGCGGAATAGCTAGGATTAGCTAGGATTGTTTAATGCTAAAACCACAATATAAGCAGTGTCATTCTGTTTCCTAGTTTAATACTACCTTAAGTTTCTTTCTATGGGTGAACACAGATTAGAGCACAGGGAGATTAAAGGGGTACACACAAAACCTGCTCCATGTTAGTATTATTTTTGTTTAACATGAGAGGATGTCTGCTGCTGAATGGCTTCCTACTCCCTATATTGTCCTGCATAGGTCATGAAACTATGGATTCAACACCGAAATAGTGCACTAGACATGCTAGACAGGATGTTGTCATGTTGTCATTCATGACTGAATATAAATGGATTTTAATTTAGACGTATAATGGTTAGACTTATAATGGCTTTAATTTAGACTGTTGGGGTGTAGAAGCTGTTATATAATGATCTATGCAGTGCACATTACATAAGGAGTAAGAAGCAGTTTGAGATTGAATGTATATTTTTCTCAACTTTGTACATGCTGTTGTTAAGTAGCACCCATACAGGCTAAGAATGCTATCACACACAAGGCAAAACCGCTCAGGTAGATAATCACACCTTAAAGCTCTGTTTTCACTGATAAACAAGTAGGATTGCAGGCCAACTGAGCAGAGTGCAAAATAAACATGTAATTATTACTAAAGAATATGGCCATTTTGTTAGGGCTCAATTACAATTTTAAACTACTGAAAAATGCTTACACACGTGGTACAGATCAGGTAGTGCTGGTAAAAGTGATCATCTTTATGTATGCCTGACAGTGGTGCTCATGTGTGGCAGAGGTACTTCACTGATGTACTTAAGTAAGTTTTTGAGGTACCTAGACTTTACTTCAGTATTTCTGTCACTTTATCCTTTGTGCATTTACTCACTACACTAAAAAATCTTTACTTTTTACTTACTGCATTAAAAAACTTTACTTTTTACTCACTAAATTAAAAAACTTTACTTTTTACTCACTACATTAAAAACTTTACTTTTTACTCACTGAATAAAAAAAAAAACATTACTTTTTACTCACTACATTTTAAAAAACTTTATTTTTTGCTCACTACATTTGAAAAACTTTACCTTTTACTCACTACATTTAAAAAACTCATATTTTTACTCACTACATTTAAAAAACTTAACTTTTTACTCACTACATTTAAAAAAAACTTTACTTTTTACTCACTACATTTAAAAAACTTTACTTTTTACTCACTGCATAAAAAAACTTTACTTTTTACTCACTACATTTAAAAAAAAAACTACTTTTTACTCACTACATTTAAAAAACTTCACTTTTTACTCACTACATTAAAAAAAAAACTACTTTTTACTCAATACATTTAAAAAACTTAACTTTTTACTCACTACATTTAAAAAAAACATTACTTTTTGCTCACTACATTTAAAAACTTTACTCTTTACTCACTACATTTAAAAAAAAACTTTACTTTTTACTCACCACATTTGAAAAAAAACTTTTTACTAACTACATTTAAAAAAACATTACTTTTTACTCACTACATTTAAAAACTTTACTCTTTACTCACTACATTTAAAAAAAAACTTTACTTTTTACTCACTACATTAAAAAAAACTTTTTACTCACTACATTTAAAAAAAACATTACTTTTTACTCAGTACATTTAAAAAACTTCACTTTTTACTCACTATATTAAAAAAAACTTTACTTTTTACTCACTACATTTAAAAAACTTCACTTTTTACTCACTACATTTGAAAAAACTTTACTTTTTACTCACTACATTTAAAAAAACTTTACTTTTTACTCACTACATTTAAAAAACTTCACTTTTTACTCACTACATTTAAAAAACTTCACTTTTTACTCACTACATTTAAAAAACACTTTACTTTTTACTCACTACATTTAAAACAACTTTACTTTTTACTCACTACATTTAAAAAAAAATACTTTTTAATGACTACATTTAAAAAAACATTACTTCTTACTCACTACATTTAAAAAACTCAACTTTTTACTCACTACATTTGAAAAAACTACTTTTTACTCACTACATTTAAAAAACAACTTTTTACTCACTTCATTTAAAAAAACTTCACTTTTTACTCACTACATTTAAAAAACATTACTTTTTACTCACTACATTTAAAACAACTTTACTTTTTACTCAATACATTTAAAAAACATTACTTTTTGCTCACTACATTTGAAAAACTTTACCTTTTACTCACTACATTTAAAAAACTTCACTTTTTACTCACTACATTTAAAAAAACATTACTTTTTACTCACTACATTTAAAAACTTTACTCTTTACTCACTACATTTAAAAAAAAACTTTACTTTTTACTCACTACATTTAAAAAAAACATTACTTTTTACTCACTACATTTTAAAAAACTTTACTTTTTACTCACTACATTTAAAAAAATACTTTTTAATGACTACATTTAAAAAAACATTACTTCTTACTCACTACATTTAAAAAACTCAACTTTTTACTCACTACATTTGAAAAAACTACTTTTTACTCACTACATTTAAAAAACAACTTTTTACTCACTTCATTTAAAAAACTTCACTTTTACTCACTACATTTAAAAAACATTACTTTTTACTCACTACATTTAAAACAACTTTACTTTTTACTCAATACATTTAAAAAACATTACTTTTTGCTCACTACATTTAAAAAAAACTTTACTTTTTACTCACTACATTTAAAAAAAACTTTACTTTTGACTTACTACATTTAAAAAACAACTTTTTACTCACTACATAAAAAAATTTACTTTTGACTCACTACATTTAAAAAACAACTTCACTTTTTACTCACTACATTTAAAAAAGCATTACTTCTTACTCACTACATTTAAAAAACTCAACTTTTTACTCACTACATTTAAAAAAAAACTACTTTTTACTCACTACATTTAAAAAACTACTTTTTCCTCACTACGTTTAAAAAAACTTTACTTTTTACTCAATACATTTAAAAAACATTACTTTTTACTCACTACGTTTAAAACAACTTTACTTTTTACTCAATACATTTAAAAAACATTACTTTTTGCTCACTACATTTAAAAA